CTCGTGTATATAGACTTGCACCACCCGCCGCTTGTTGTCCGTGCTCAGTATGACTTTACCACTAGGGCAACCCGAGCTGACCCTTCTAACGTAGAATCGTCAAGGGACTGGAATTTCCCTAGGGCCGACTTTTATTCATTATATTTTCTTATCATTGATTGCGACTGGAGCGGCATTTATGAATGTCGCACAGTAGACGACGTCGTTTCTAAATTTAATGACGCATTGTATAATATTTTCGATCACTGTATTCCCAAAAAAATACGGAAGCCGACGTGTAGTCGTTCATATCCTGTCTACTACACGAAAGCAATAATCCGTGACATTTCCTGTAAAGCTCGTTTGCATAGGGTGTGGAAACAAACTAAAAATGACAATGTTCACAAACAGTTTAAAGTTTTACGCTCATCAATCAAGGAAAACATTAAGGCAGCCTATAACAATTATGTTCATAATGTTTCTAGTAACCTCGCAACCAAGCCCTCACTATTTTGGCAATTCGTTAGTACCTTACGCTGCCGAGGAGGAATCGAACCCGCGATCACTTATGGCGATTCTGAGTATCGAGGAGCCGAGGCCGCTGCTGCATTCGCGAAACACTTCGAATCGGTTTTTCTGCCTGACTTGCCCACTCTCGATCCACAACAGGCCGCTTCAATGGTCTCCTCTTTGGATGGTGAACGGCTGGTCGACATCCGGTCAATCAGTGGAGATGCGGTGCGCCGCGCGGTTAAGCGTCTCAAAGGTAACACATCGGTGGGTCCGGATGGCATACCGGCATTTGTCATCAAAGGTTGCATCGATAGTTTGATTGCCCCGATAATATTTATTTATAACCTTATATTGACTACTGGAGAATACCCAACTATATGGAAAATATCACGCGTAACTCCAATACCTAAAAAAGGATCTAAGCTTAGAATCGAGAACTATCGGCCTATAGCAATATTATCTGCACTGGCTAAGGTATTCGAGATGGTAATGCATGAGTATCTCCTCCCTCAATGCCGGCCATACATCACTAGCTCCCAACACGCTTTTTTGCCCAAAAGATCCGTAGCTACTAATTTGGTCGAGCTGGTCGATGTCATTTCGAGGGCGATGGATGCTCGACATCAGGTAGATACTGTGTATCTTGATTTCCAAAAGGCTTTTGACCGGGTTGACAACGATATATTACTGCAGAAGCTAAGTAGAATGGGATTCGCCCCCCGGCTATTAAAACTGTTTGCCGATTATCTGAAAGACCGGAAACAGTTCGTAAGATATGGACCATACCAGTCAAAACCATACCATACACGTTCTGGCATAAGTCAGGGATCAAATTTGGGACCATTCCTTTTTCTTATTTTTATAAATGACCTTCCAACAGCTGTTAACAAGGCCACGGTTTTATTATTCGCCGACGATGTGAAACTTGTCATGCCCATTAAGTCGACTCAGGACTGTTATGCTTTGCAACAGGACATCGTCGCAGTGAGCAAATGGAGTGTAGACAACAAGCTACTATTCAACAATGGTAAATGTGAAATTATGACCTTTTCGCGCTCCCCGTTGCCTCTCCGCTATGACTATCGATTAGCTGGTCAAGTGATTGTTCGTGTGAGTGAAGTCTGCGATCTCGGCGTTACCTTTGACCCGTCTCTCGCATTCCGGACTCATGCTCGGAATGTCACAAAGTGTGCATATCAAAGACTGGGGTTCGTGTTACGTAACGCTGCTCCACTAACACCTTCAGCAACGAAAGCGCTCTACACGGCTCTGGTTCGAAGTATACTCGAATCGAATGCAGTGGTTTGGGCTCCACATGAAAATAAATATATTCTCATGTTGGAGCAAGTCCAAAAGAAGTTTTTGAGATATTTATATAAAAAAATATTTTACTACTACCCATTCCTGTACCCAACACGCTTTCTACAAGGTCACTTGGGCTATGAGTCCTTGGAATTGCGTAGAAATGTCGCATCACTTAGATTCATTATAAATGTATTAAGAAATAATATTGACAGTGTGAGCCTAGTGGAAAAGATCCTTAGGTTCAGGGTCCCTGATGATTACTGCAACAGGCGACGTGGTGTGCCCCTCCTGGCAATCGAGCCCTCTCGCACTGAACTGCACCGACACTCGCCTATTCCACGTACGACTGCACTCCTCAACTCCATGCTCGCAGCATCACCGCAGTGTGATGTGTTTGTGACTGGGATAGAGAGACTGATGACGGAATGGAAGAGAGTTTTGGAGAGATGTATGAATGAATTAGTAAGTAGATAATTTTAAGTTTATTTTATTGTTCTATTTCTTGTTGTTTTGTGTATTTGTTTTCTTTTTCTTTTTAAATTGTTATTAACTAAATTGTCGTAACGCCATGGTGCAAACTGTTATGTTACACATTTTGTCTATTAATAAATAAATAATAATAATAATAATAAATAATAATAAATAACTGGTTGATGACTGTACCACCTCAGTCAACCGTGACTAACCGTGACGTGAAAGGGCCCGAAACGTTGGTTTGTTCGAAAAAACAAATATACGCAATTTAAATCTGGAAGAATAGTTTCTTTTGCTATACATAGATACTGTCAGTTTACATAAAATAGTAAACAATAAATTTGACTCAACACCTCTACTGAATCTTATACATTTCAGAGTACCCCGTCAAATTGAAAGATTTGGTCGTATGAATTATACTTTTCTCAATTAAGAAATCGCGGAAATGTTTCGTTGGCAATAGCTTTATTATTAGGCGATCATGTCAGACATATAATAGCAGATATTGAATATTTTCTGTAATTCATTATCAAAATTTAAAACAAAAATTAAAGCCTTACTATAATTGTTTTATACTGATTGTCTTTAAGATTTCAACTGCATTATAAATTAAGGAATCTCTGGGTCTACTTTATATATCTTCGTTAATGTAATAATAGTTTTATGCCGACTGTTTGGTTCTAGAATACACAAATAAATATTTCAAATTCAAATTTCAAATACTTTATTCGTACATGTGGTAATATTTATATTAACATCATAAATAACTTCTTTTCTATGAATTTTAATAATTTATCACATTTTACTTTCATACAAAAATAAATATATTTAAATGGATCGCTCTAAACGGTAATAACTCTGTGCAAGACGGGGGTGGTAGTCGTCGCGGGCGGAGGACACTTGCACGTTTGAACTTGCCTTGCCAAATACAGACCTAAAAAGTGTCAGATAGTACAAAAAATATCAGAGATACATCAAATTCGGTTCACAAATGCCTAGGAGTTATCGCGTAACATACATAGAAAAAACACACAGTCGAATTGCGAACCTCCTCGTTTTTTGCAGTCGGTTAAAAAGAACAAAAATGTTTCCTGACCAAAATTTAAAAAGTCTAATCTTGTGTAGTCTGGCGGGCTAGCTTTATACATTTTTTATATTTATTGTCACTTGTGTCCTGTTTCGTCAAAGCGGGACATTAAGTATTTAGGGGACAGCGGGACACGAAGTTTAAAAGCTGGACTGTCCCGCTCAAAGTGGAACTTGTGGGCACATTATGTATGATCAGGACAACAAGTAAAATAAATGTTTCTTCACCGACATCCATTGTGACACATAAAATTCACAGGGAAATTCGGGAATTCAAGCACCAAACTGTGTTCAGAAGCAACACCCGACGACTATGTCCGGTTGCCGTTATTGAACACAGCAATCACGGTAATGGTGTTGTGTCGGTAAAAACAAGAGAATCTACCGTCTTTCGAGGGTCAGCGTTTTGCCAACGCATGCACAGCGTCGACACAGCATCCGCGTGGTGGCGACGCAACGCCAGCACTATGATTGCGGTATAGTGCCTAAAGTCGTATATACGCCGCGTTGGTGTTGCGTCGGCTCCGTGCGGACGTTGTGACCAGCGACGCTGTGACGAGACGCCGACGCCCCAAAAGACGCTACTGTGAGCGGTATCTAAGCATACGGCGTATTTTAAATGCGCCGACGACGCGCATATACCCGCACCCGCTGTACTCAATCCATTCAAACATGCGCAAACATCGCGTTGAAATCAAGAATCGTATGCACTCTACTGGACTTTACACTTCAAATTTCATGTAGTTGCTTCATTTGAAAAACTAACTGAAATTAACAAACAAAACTATCTTTTACCAAAATGCGCGATACACACGCGCGACAACAGCGCGTCTGCGGCACGTAAACGTGCGTCACCGGCACGTATAAAATACGCCGTGTGCATAGGCTCGTAGGTGTCTACGTTTGATAACCGTTTGCACAACGCGATAATGAATGAAAAACCTACAGATATCGATGTTGTGAGCAAAGTGAGAATGGATGACATTTGATATAACATCTATAGAAATAATGTTAACCAAATAACGGCATGAGTATTATTACATGTTGCACCCCATGGCATAAGTGGAGTTACATCAAAAACGTTTATTGCTCCATTAGATACAAAATAATATAATCCACATCCTCTCCAATTCTTGTAACCCTATCGACTATATAATCTCCAATTCTTGTAATATATATAGTTACAAGAATTGGAGAGGATATTTGTTATATTTTTCTGTAACCTAATGGAGCAATAAACATTTTTGGTGTAACTCCACTTATGCCATTCTTCCAAGAGGGACGTGTACTGTGTGTCTTGTTAATTCTAGAGTCGGCTACAATTATTGTAGTAACAAAACCGAGGAGCGCTTCGGACATGTAGCCATGTTTCTTGCTTTTTTATTATAGCAAGTGACGGGAAGTCGCAAAGATCTGAGGGGCACTGCCACTGCGCCCGCCACCTTGAGAGACATAAATTGTCAAGTCCCTTGTGCCTGTAATTCACCATGACCCTTAATCTTGAAAACCGGAACGCAGAAGTAGGTAAAGTGGCAGTACTTCCCTGGACTAACTCTTTCACCAGGAACTTTACTGCTCCTAAACTAACTACTAATTGATTTAGGTTTGTCAATTCAATGCATTCAATATAATGTTTGTTACAGTTATATGTTATTGAAGCTGGAATGGAATACAGCTATCACTATTGTGGAAACTTTTTCACCCTATGGGCCGAAGGCAGCAATGAAAATGTTGTATTGCCTTATATATTTTTGATATTTTTGGAAGTTCACGCCTTAATCCTTTTGATAACTGGCTTAGGATTTGCATGTGGGCTCTGTGTGGTAATTATTTTTGTAATTAACTAAAATATGAGTTCAGTCTAGGTATGTATGTAATGATAGTGGATTTTTTGTTCAATATCATAATTTGAAATTGAAGATGAAATTGACCAAAACAGCCACTTGTGTTAAAAAAATGTATTAGAAAAAAGGTGCTTGATCCCTAGACACTTTTGATGAGCGTAGTTTATTTTTTATTTCATCTCAAATATAAACAATATGACATCAGGTTTCAGACCTGCAATTATATTTGAAGACAACACAAATATACGTAATTTAGATCCATAATAGTTTAATATGAAGTTTAAGATAAATGCAAAATCGCAGAGCTAACTTTTCAAGAGCCTATACTACCTCAAATGGTTTTGTTTGATTCCGCATGACAATGAAAGTGTTAAATCAATTTATCATTCACTTTGGAAAAAATATATAGTAAAAATCAGAATGTATAATAAATACTATACGGTGTGAATTACCTCGAAGTTTTTCAAGAAAACTGCTGTATTTAATATCATCATCATCATCATATACAGCCTGACTTCACCCACTGCTGGATATAGGCCTCCAAGTTTCTGTGCCACTCCCCACGATCCCGTGCCAATTAGAACGATTTTAGAACGATTTGTGCCAATCGACACCACTTACTACAAGGCCTTCGTAATATCTTCATAGAACTCTTCCACATCTTCGTCGGGATGGTATGAGGTTGGGGCGTAAACTTGTATTATCTTGAGCGAGTATTGTTTGTTCAGCTTGAGTATAACAAAGCAAACGCCAGTAGAAATACTCTTGATGTTAATAATTGACGGAGCAATATTTTTCGCTACAAGAAATCCAACCCCTCCATATGTAGTCTTCATGGCCGCGATAGAGGAATAGATCACCTGAAATAAGTTTAATCAGGTCAGAGGTAGTATCGACACTTAACGTTCATGGACAGTATCTGCGTTTTACCGTAAACGTAAATGTCAGAATATAATTTTACGGGGTATCCTATTTCTCTGTATGGATCTAAAATGCCAGCTTGGCTTGGCTTAATAGTGCGATTTTCAAGTGCGTTCTGTGTATTTGCCGCCTACTGCTTTTACATAGACAAGTATCAACAACGTACTGACAAAATTCAATCATTTACATACATTGAATATTTTATATATTGAATCCAAAATATATACGTCAAGAAAAGTTGTGATATTTGAACGAAATTGGGATTATTCCCATTTGATACCCTACAACTGATCCAATTTTTATTCCAACTGATCCACTCCATATTTTGCAACTCCCAACAGATCTCACTGTGTTTGTGAGGTAAATACAGTAATTAAAATCAAAATTACTGTATTTACCTCTCTCGTTATATTTATTAATGTATAGGACAATTTCCTAACTTGCGTCATCTTTTGAGCTTTTAAAAGCTTTTTGTTGACTGTACCTACCAAAAATATGCTTGTAAACACCAAGATATCAGGTGGGAATAAAATATTAATATTTTTTCTTGATCCCCCCTGTATTTGCAATATAAAATACTACAAAATAAAACTGAATCACCAGGGGATCGCTTTTAGGGGATGGGAATAACCTGAAACTAAACCGAATCTCGTATATTTTTGTATTTCTTTTTTTTCAGGGGTCCATTGAATGTGCTCCATTCTTTGTGGTGGCGCTAATAACGGCACCTTTTATAATAACCCTCTATTACGTAGGGATGTTGTGTATAATTCTCGCTGGTAAACTTGAATGCCCCTATATAACACCTATTTACGGTGTCCATCTAGTATTAATGATCCTTGCTGCCATATGTAAGTACCTATACTTTAATTATAACGAACATAGATTACAATTACACTTCTTTTAATTTAAACTTTAAGATTTCGTGGTTATTCACCAAATGATTTTCACTAAAGGCCTACCGCTGAACTAAGTCTATTTACTAATTTCAACTAGGTATGTTGATTAAATTGAAACAAGTTCCAAATGGCTTTTCCATTCATTACAATTGTCAAACAACAATTGGGTAATTTGGTGAGCGCTTTTTTCAATTAACTTGTGGGTAACACCCTCATGACACTATCCGAATCCATGCATTTTGCACCCTTAGAGCCCACACACTATCCGCATGACGTAAATTACCGCCCCGACATCCTGGACGTAGCATTATTCAAAAATATTAACCTTAATTTAGACTCGATCCAAATCCACGAGTTAGTTTTAGATCACCGCCCCGTCCTCCTTCACCTCTCCTCTCGTTCGGACATAGCCCTCCCACCCCTGACCCTTGTGCTCCCATTAAACTGTGTTGGACTGGGGGAAGTTGAGTCAAGGACTCAATATCCTCGAGGCTAAACACCTAGTTCAGATTTCAGACGACATTTCTTCAGTCGTAGACGCCAACTGTGTTATTGACCGTCGTTTGAACCTACTGGAAGATATGCGTGCCCTTCTAACGGAAAAGAACGCAGCTACTGTGGCTTACGATTCTTACCCCACCGACGAAAACCGCTGTTTCCTGCGGGCTTTACAGAGGGACGTAAAGACGTCAAAGTCGATGGAAAAGCTTCTCGAAGGACTCTAGCCCACCCACCAAGTCTTCTGGTAACTAACCCGTCTCAAGTCCGGCACGGTTGCCCAAATGTCTCCTCAACCGATCTAACCGCACCTCAGCATTTGACGACGAGGAAAAAGCCGAATGCCCGGCCGACAGCCTCGAAGTCCAGTGCTCCCAATCTTAGAACCGGTAGAACCCGCCTATTCCAGGTGGACTCCGAGGTTGGACTCAGAGCAACCCTCCTGCCCTCCGACCCTCCTCTCCCAACGGTCACCCCAAAGGAAGTAGAATCGCTCATAAAGGATCTTAACCCTAGATTACTAACCTTATTTTTCAACGCTTATTACGAACCTTCGTCGTTTTGACTACGTTTATAATTTTTAGTTACAATTATGTACCAATATATTATTATGCAACATATTCATTAGAAACAGTCTGTTACATTTTCTGTAACTGTATGATACAGTTCTACATTTATGAAATTTTTAAATTGCTTACACATTCAATTTATAAAGACAATGTTTGAAAACAACTTAAATTATTAAAATTAAGAAAAAAAAATGAACTAAACATCAAAACATTTTGGTACAAATCTGGAAACTTAAACATTTGTGACATACTTCAAGTTTGTGTTCATAACACAACAATTTTTTGTATTTAGTGCAACTGCTTTTCGCTTTGCAAAGGGGCATATCGCACCGATTTTCTTCTTCTTTAGTTTAGGAATGCATCCTTTCTTCAGTTTCAAATGTGGAACTACTATTACAACTACTTCCTGGTATTTTCAAAATTTATGTAATTGAGTCATGCAGAGCCTCCAAGGGTTGATATTGTTGATCTTTTTTGCATTTGTGACTCCCCGTTTTAAATATTGACGTCTCAACAAAGGCCTTTTCCTTTGCATCCTTAATATTAGTTATATGAATAACGTAACTATTTAAAAATGCAATGATGAGAATTCTATAAAAATTGTACTACAAAGGCCATCGCCGAGCTTTTCTCGTTAAGTCTAGTTACGTCCTCGATGGCAAGAAGCAAGGGAACCGCCCAATCCCTTGGGAGAACACGGTCAAATACCTAAGAATTACGCTCGATAGGAAGTTGTCGTTCAAAGCACACGTGAAAACCGTGTGCGATCGCGCCCACTTTGTTATGAGCTGCATCTACCATCTTCTCAACAAACATAATAAACCTTCCCTTCGTGTTAAGGTGAGATTGTACACGACATAGATCCAATTATGACGTACACCAGTGTCGCATTCGAGGCCATCAGGGACCTATTGCAAAACGTCCATAACAAAAATATCGATCGTCGAATCGTGACTGTTTTAACTTTGTTATAATTATTAATACCATGATCGAATACTCAGATTCCTTCGATCCGTCCGGATTCATACCGACGACGTCTTCTAGCATACCGTGCCAGACGCTATACCAACTAACCAGCGACACGAACCTACGAATTCTTCTATGTGCTTACGTCGTATCTTTGTATTTGGTTTTTCAACGACTTTTTATCCGTAACGCCATCTATGATATTTCGTCACCCAGTTAAAAACCTTTCCAGCTACGAGCCCCGGCTAGAGATGTCGCTATTCATTGTATTAAAATTTGCTTTAACTTTGTTTTGAATTTTTTTTTCAGTCTTTTTACACGCTGGTTGTTGTATTAATTCATATAAACCTGGAGCCCGCCCACCTACTTATGCTTTGCATAAATGTTCAAAGAAAAAGATTACTACTTGTTAATTTATAGTGAAGTAAGTATATTGAAATCAAATTGTTAATTAATAGACAATGAAGTAGTCTTTTTGAAATCAAAATGTCAGGGACTTTAGGTGACTCAACGAGTATAGACAATTAGTCCCTTTTTTTTTTTTTTGACGGGGAGGAAATCTTTATGGATACCCCTGAGCCCAGGGAGACTATAGACAATTAGTTCCTAGGTCAACGTAGGTGAAATATGGACCGTGACGTCACGGGCAAGAAGAGATTATAATTTATCTAAAATTTGGTATCTCGTATAAGAGGTTATTATTGGTACCACTCCACTTAGTTCAAGGTTTCCTTCTAACCCTCCTTGCATTTCGGTAACTTTGGAGATATTGGCGTCTAAAGTATTTTTTGCTAGTAAAACGACTAAAAAAGGGCACGTGTGTGTGGATTGAGTGAGCACCCTCTGTAAAAAGTTTAAAATATATAAGTCATTTAATAAAACTTCTAAAACAATTGTAGAAACCTATCTTTCTATTAGTAAAATACAAAACAAAAAAAGAAAAATAATGTAACTCAGTTTAATTAAAAAGATATTCTTTTTTATTATACGATGTATGAAAATCTATAATGCAAAGTGACGACACGTTATGAAAATGCCAAAATGAACACGTAATATAAGTACCTAGATATTTATTGAGCATTGACTGTAACGGCGGTAACGAATACTTGAGAACTCAAATCGTAACATAAATAATAAAAAGTCTATATTTTAAACTTTTTACAGCGGTGCTCACTCAATCCATACACACGTAAAAATGTCAATTACAGTGATTTTGTTTAACAATAAAACTGAAACTAGATAAGATATAGAAAAAAACCGATTAGAGGGGTTGTAGACGTCGTCGTTTTGCTGTTCCCAGTTAAGTTAATAACTACATTTCGCTAAAAATGTCGATTACGTTAGTTGCAATAAGAAGGGCAGAATTGACCAATATTAAACAACATCACATAAACGTTACTCTGGTTTCAAGTAGCAAAAGCACTTCTGTTATGGAAATCGGAACCAACAAAACGGCAACAGCCCGTTCCTTACTGCATAAGTTTTGATTATAATGGTGACCCTCCTTACCGATCCTTAGGGCTCAACTCGCACTGGCGTAAAGTCGAAACGTCGCGTCGCGTCTTGTTTTTCAACTGCAACGCATGGCGACGCAACAACCCTCGCATTAGCGCGCCCTGATCACAGTGTGGTCGCCATTCCGTCTGACGCGTCATTGCGTGCAAGTAACGCACGGTGACGCGCGGCGACGCGCGATGTCATGTTTGCATAACATAAATTTGTACCTTAATAATGGGAAAATGGAGATAATAATAATAATAACGCACACACTCAACATAGCCCCGCACTAAGGAAACCCTGTGTCGCGGGTGCCATGGACACACACATAGACAACGACAAATTACACCCAAACTCACGAGAGAAATAAATGTAGGCCACACATACATTTCTCCCGGCCCGGGAATCGAACTTGGGGCCTCTGCGTGGCAGTCCGGCATGGTAACCGTTCGGCCACGGAGGCAGTTATGAATGAATATGCTATAGGCAAAAAACATAACGCGTCGCGATGCTTTGACTCTGCGCCAGTGTGTGTTTAGCTTAGGGTATACGAGAAGGGCACTATAGCCTGTGCAAGAACAGGGACCGTCTCCGTCAGGTCCTGACCCCCGATCAGCCTGTTTGCACAAACTTCGCCCGGTTTTCAAGAAACTAGTGCCTTGAGCGAGCTGCCCGGGTGCACGTACAGCACCCTCCTCTATTTTACAGATAGGTACCAGAGCTATAGGCGCGCTGACTTCCCGTTGCGTTAACCGTTGCCACCGCTAAACCGTTGCCTCTAAAGTCTACTACCAAATCTCCTCTTTGGTGGCGGAGCTGTAGGGTACCCTCACCTCTCGAAGCCGAAGCGTCTCTTCAGTTCCCAGAAACCTACGCGGCTAGTGGGACCGGAGGATATCTAGCTTATACCCAGACCCGAGACAGCCCCATATCTTTCTACATTAGTTTTGATTATAGTGACCCTCCTTACCGACCCTTAGGGTATACGAGAAGGGCACTATAACCTATGCGCGCACAGGAACCTTACAAGTTCAGGTTCTCAGGTTCTCGGACTACAGATCAGCCAATGTACAGAGTTGTCACAAAACTCTGTCAATTGACTTCATCCGGTTCTCGAGAGGCTAGTGCCTCGGGTGAGCCGCTCCGGGATTTTCCACATACACTTCCCGTTGACTAGCTAACTAGCGGTTGCCACCGCTAAGCCATCGACTCTAAATTCCACTACCAAATCTCATATGTGGTGGAGCTGTAAGGGTACGCTCGCATCCCGACGGCGAAAAACGACGTCTCTTCAGTTCCCAATAACCTAAGCGGCTGGAGGGACCGGAGGATATCTAGCTTATCAGAGGACAAGCTCTCCGGGCCAGTGCCGGAGATGCCAGTCGCAGGTCATAACTTCCAATTTAAAGGGCAACTCACGTGTTTCGCGCGTCTCCTCGCTTCAGGCCCTCAACTAGACCCGACCCACGACAATATAGAAAAGGTAGTTCGAACTCGTGACCTCGAAGATGTCGACACCATGAAAACCGGTGTGCAAGGACCACAGAGGTGACTAAAATAATGGTAGCACTTAGTAGTTCGATGCGCTTTGAATTGGAGAATAGCAAAAACAACCATTAATATAACTGCTCCTTAAAATAAAGTTTAGGCGCTATTTATAAGAATGAATCTTCATGCGTGAACAGCCACCCTTAAAGGTGGATGATTTTCTTCAAAATTAAATGGGACCACTACGAAGGTACCCTCTTTCCAACAAAAAAGAATCATGAAAATCGGTTCACAAGAACCGAAGTTATCGCGTAACATACATACAAAAAAAAACATACAGTCGAATGAGAACCTCTTCCCTTTTTGAAGTCGGTTAAAAACACTCCCAACTTAGATTTAAATACGGGTTATGGTAAAAAGTAACTTACCCCAAAAGGGCCTGTGATTTTCTATAAATATTATGCTTTACGAACAGTTAGGTTACATGATTTAGCTGGTCAGAACTTCATGTGAAGTCGAGCACGTGTGCTCGCTTCGGAAATTTAGTAAAATTGACGAAGAAGACAAGGGATTTTAGAACGATTCAAAATTTCAAAGTAGGTGGCCAGAAATCAGAGAAAAGAGTGATAAAAGGGTGGGATGACGGCGAATGAGGTCGCATCGTCTCTACTGCCACTGCGGCAAGCGCAAGGAACTGGCATTAAAAATCATGACTGTTTTAACTTTGTTATAATTATTAACACCATGATCGAACACTCAGAAAAAAAATTCTTCGATCCACCCGGATTCAAACCGACGTTTTCTAGCATACCGTGTCAGACGCTATACCAACTAACCCACGGAACTATCCAGCGGACTTCACGAATTCGTCACCCAGTTAGATACCGTTACAGCTACCAGCCACGGCTAGAGATGTCGCTATTCATTGTATTTAAATTTACTTTAACTTTCTTTTTAATTTTTTTTCAGTCTTTTTACACGCTGGTTGTTGTACTAATTCATATAAACCTGGAGCCCGCCCACCTACTTATGCTTTGCATAAATGTTCAAAGAAAAAGATTACTACTTGTTAATTTATAGTGAAGTAAGTATATTGAAATCAAATTGTTAATTAATAGACAATGAAGTAGTCTTTTTGAAATCAAAATGTCAGGGACTTTAGGTGACTCACGAGTATAGACAATTAATCCCTAGGTCAACGTAGGTGAAATATGGACCGTGACGTCACGGGCAAGAAACGATTTTAATTTATAAAATTAGGTATCTCGTATAAGAGGTTATTAGTGGTACCACTCCACTTAGTTCAAGGTTTCCTTCTAACCCTCCTTGCATTTCGGTAACTTTGGAGATATTGGCGTCTAAAGTATTTTTTGCTAGTAAAACGAGTAAAAAACGGCACGTGTGTGTGTGTATTGAGCACCCTCTGTAAAAAGTTTAAAATATATTAGTCATTTAATAAAACTTCTAAAACAATTGTAGAAACCTATCTTTCGATTAGTAAAATACAAAACAAAAAAAGAAAAATAATGTAACTCAGTTTTTTAAATTAAAAAAAAAATTAAAATTTAAATTAAAAAGATATTCTTTTTTATTATACGATGTATAACAATCTATAATGCAAAGTGACGACACGTTATGAAAATGCTAAAATGAACACGTAATATAAGTACCTAGATATTTATTGAGCATTGGCTGTAACGGCGGTAACGAATACTTGAGAACTCAAACCGTAACATAGATAATAAAAAGTCATTCATATTTTAAACTTTTTACAGGGGTGCTCACTCAATCCACACACGTAAAAATGTTAATTACAGTGATTTTATATTTTATATTACCAGAGCTATAGGCGGGCTGACTTCCCGTTGCGTTAACCGCCAAGCTGTGCCTCTAAAGTCTACTACCAAATCTCCTCTTTGGTGGCGGAGCTTTAGGGTACCCTCACCTCTCGACGCCGAAGCGTCTCTTCAGTTCCCAGAAACCTACGCGGCTAGTGGGACCGGAGGATATCTAGCTTATACCCAGACCCGAGACAGCCCCATATCTTTCTACATTAGTTTTAATTATAGTGACCCTCTACCGACCCTTAGGGTATACGAGAAGGGCACTATAACCTGTGCGCGCACAGGAACCTTACAAGGTCAGGTTCTGACGTTAGATCAGCCAGTGTACATGATTGTCACAGAACTCCGTCACTTGACTTTATCCGGTTCTCGAGAGGCTAGTGCCTCGGGTGAGCCGCTCCAGGATTTTCCACAAATGTACCAAAGCGGTAGGCACGCTCACTTCCCGTTGACTAGCTAACTAGCGGTTGCCACCGCTAAGCCGTCGACGCTAAATTCCACTACCAAATCTCATAGGTGGTGGAGCTGTAAGGCACGCTCGTGTCCCGAGGCCGAAAAACGACGTCTTTTCAGTTCCCAATAATCTAAGCGGCTGGAGGGACCGGTGAATATCTAGCGTATCCTCTATCGATATCCAGCTCTCCGGGCTTACTTGTGCCGGAAATGCCAGTCCTGCGACAATGTCCAGACATGGCTTCCAACTTAAAGGGCAACTCACGGGCAACCCCGCACGTCTCCTCGCTTTAGGCTTCAGACACACGCCCCGGCCACACCCAAACGGGATCGGAGGATATCTAGCTTATTCTCTTCTAGCTCTCCGGGCCAGCGCCGGAGATGCCAGGTCGCAGTATCCTGCGACAACGTACGGATATAGCTTCCAACTTAAAGGGCAATATAGAGAAGGTAGTTCGAACTCAAAAATGTCGACACCATGAAAACCGGTGTGCAAGCCACTCGACCACGGAGGTCGCTAAAATAACGGTTGCACTTAGTGGTTCGATCGCTTATATACCTACAGATAAAATGATAACCTGCGACGTTTCGGATCATCATTTCTTGAATTCGGAACTGATAAGAATCGGACGTATTAGTACGCTAACGCTCTAAGTGTAGAAAGATTAACTTTTCTATAGTGTCTCGAGTTTGGGTGTTCGTGGTATCGCCGTTGTTTCTGATTTCCATAACAGCAAGTGCTTTAGTTACTTTTTTTGAATCGGAGTAACGTATGCGATGTTGTCGTAATATTTTATTTCTTATTATTTAGTAGTAGGCAATTACTTTACATTTTAAGAAGTTTTTCTTGTTTTTAGCGAAGTTATGTAATGACGTGAACATCCTAATGTAGGAGACCCAGGACCACTGTTTCGATGCACATTGGTTCAAAATACCTCTAAGGAAGCTCAAAAACGTTACGTGTGATCAATGCAGTCAACACTTGAATGTACTTAGTGTGACGTATCCAAAATATTATAATTTATTTTTTATTAATAAATTTATTATTATAGTGCTATTTTTATTACAACTTAAATATTAATTATTACGACGACACTTGTTGGCTTTAATTTATTATTTAAACTCGCAATTTAAAACCTAAATTTCTAGGTTTTCACAAATTACATGTGAAATAATAAAATTACAAACTAAAGATCAGCACTGCGCTTCGTCCCTTTCGGACTGTTCCAGTCTTGGTTCCACCACCAGTGGATCCAGTAGGATATAGATATTACACGTGTCCCCACCACATACCATTGGTGGAACTATTAGGATTTGTGAATTCTTTCGTTTCCACTTCTGCCAAGTACATAGAGCCCGTAGTCTCTCCGGAAAACCCTATCTCTTGGGTCGGTAGATAGAGATAATGGCCGATGGAGCATACTAGTAGTTAGTAACGTCAAGGCAAACGTAGTATAGGGCGCCCTGTGGCAAGATGGACGGGCGACCTGACAAAAGTGGCCGGCAGCGGCTGGATGCGGGATCGGGAGAGCTGGCGTATTCATGGACAGGCTTACGTCCAGCAATGCGTATAAGCTGATGGTGGTGGTCTCTCTTAGTAGGTACATAAAGAGCCCATATTTCTTATCTAATTTTTCAATAAACAAAAATATATAACGAAGGAAAACCACAGCGCACCACGATAGTTCATTAGAAAAGATCCAAACAAGTCGTGCAGGCAGAATATTAATGATAGAAGTTGTTTATAGAGGCACGGGATTTGCGTTATTGATGACGTGAATTATTGCCTTGTTAAGTTGATATCTCGACAAATTTATTCTTGTTTGGTATCATTTATTTCACAAAAGTAGTCCATTGTGTTAGTAGGTATAATAATATCTAATAATAATAACGCACACACTCATTACCCCGCACTAGGGAAACCCTGTATCGCGGGTGCCATGGAAACACATACAAAAACTACACCTAAATTCTCGAGAGTAATAAATGTATAAATATTCTCCCGGTCCAAGATTCGAACCCGAGACCTCTGCGTGGCAGACCAGCATGGCTAATCCTTCGGCGAGTTAGATAGCTATTTTCCACTAAGCGACTATCACGCACGACTGTAGCCCCGGCGAGTCCATACCTATGTCCGGGTCCGCCAGTGACGGCCGTGAAGGCGTACCGCTAGCGGATGGCTCTGCCTGAATATGAAGCACGTAGTTCCCCGAGGATTACGATGTATTAAAAACGCAGTTGTGCAATCGCTTCCAACTAACGCGTCAATTTGTATAGTATTTATGACTTACATCGAATATAGCCAGAAATGGAGACGAAATTTCATTTAGTTTGTATCAAAACTAATCTGCCAAATAATTACGGTGGCAACTGCGCTCCGATTGGCTAGCCCCAGCCAGCCCCAATTCGAAACAATTGACGGGCGTCGTCTGTTTCACTTCAAATCCACCAGTTTAACTTGAGCTTTGCTATAATGGACGAAAGTTGAAAAATTACATTAATTACCAATGAAATGTGATTCCGTTTGTTTTGTAATTAGATGTTTTGCTGTTTTTCCCATACCACCGAATAGAACAGCACTCCATTGTTAGAGACATTATCCTTATTACCATAAATACAGAATATTTTTGGAATATACAGAGTCGTACACACAGGTCAGTTGTTGGCGCTGTACTATTTCAGCTTTCTAATTTGTTATTTCAGCGCCAACGAGATTTTCTATTTAAAAGTGATATAAGCCATTGGCCTGATGACTTGCCAGGGATAAATGGCACTTATATCGTCTCTATTTCTGGTTATATACTCGATGATGACTTATTTGAATAAATATGAATCGCTTGAAGCCATCCGCCGCCGACGACTAGCCGCTTAGTGAAAAAATTGTTTAAAGCTATGCCGTTTTACTGTTTAGGCGGTTATCGGTATTTTGAAAAACACTATCAAAATATCGGATTTAAGGATCATAAGCAACTACAATTAAAATAAGCCTCGCATTACAAAATCGCGAATGAATTGGTTCGAAGATTATGGTGAAAACAGTCGTATGCCGAATGATGGTAAGTTTTTGATCACTGGAATAAAAGACACATAATTAATCGTGTTACAATATTGTATAACACAGTTTTTCTCTAAGCCATTTAAACCATTAACTTTTTATATGATTTAAACATTGACTTACAAATAAATGGACGACGGGTCTAACACAAAAATCACGAAAAAAATGTCCCAAGTCAACCTATTTAAACGTAGTGACATTTAAAGGAATATGAAAAAGCTAAAACGTTGAATTTAAATTGTAATGTCATCGCAGTACTGTCTAATTTTGCTTGCTGCGCTGTCAGTCGAACAAACGAAGACTAGAGCGTGAATGACGCTCTGTATACGATTTTAACGCCCTATAAGTTCAGACACTTTTTAGCGCGGACCCGACGTCCATATAATTATAAGTCAATGGATTTAAACCATTTATTTGCGCACTAATTACTTTTTTTTACTTTTTTGACCGAACGAGCAAGTCGTGCGCCAAATGATAAGAAACGCCTATCCATAATAGTTGCAGCGCCACTCAGAGCTTTAAATCGCAAATATCTGAGGGGCACTGTCACTGCGGCCTTCACCCTGAGACATAAGTTGACAAGTCCCATGTGCTTGTAATTTCACCAACACCCTTACCCTTCTATACCGCTAATGCTAATGCTAACATTACTGCTTGGTGGCAGAAATAGATAAGGTGGCAGTACTTCCCTGGACGAACTCTTTAGGGAGCTCTACTGCTACTTACACTACGTTACATAACAAAACTAAGCTTAAAAGGCATTGACTTACAATTATATGGACGTCGGGTCCGCGCTAAAAAGTGTCCGCACTTGTAAGGCGCTAAAATCGTATACAGAGCGCCAAACTCCGCTTTTGTCTTCATTTGTTCTACTGACAGCGCGATACTGCGATGACATTACAATTTAAATTTCGAATAGGTTGACTTGGGACATTTTTTTCGTGGTTTTTGTATTAGACCCGTCGTCCATTTATTTGTAAGTCAATGTTAAAAGGTTACTTATAAATGTGAAAATAAATTAGATTAATATATACGTTAAATGATTTGTGTATAGGGAACAGTTTCAGCATTTAAGGTCGTATTCTAGAACTCTATTCAATGCTCAAGTCAGGATTGCACTGGCAACACAAGCACTGGAAAGACGACCCTAATGGCAGGGACTTGAGTATGATTTCGAGTGCTTTAAACCATACTCAAATCCTGACTTGAGCATTGAGTACCTAGAGTTCTAGAATACGACCCTAAGTAAGCGGCATAAGCTCAGCATTGGTTTTCAGCCTGCCCACGATCTCTGCAAACACATTTGTAATTGCGCTTGTTTCGCAAACTTAGTACGTACTTAGTAACCGTATCAAGCTAAATCTGGATAATTTAGTAAATAATCTCGATTTAAACATCATTATACATTTTACTCCGCTCCAACTGTAAATATCTTCTGTCCTATCCATGTATATAGTATATTATGTGCACTCTAATTGTAAACCAATCCCTTTCGGCGGTTCAGGGCCACAATTAGAAATGACCACAATGAAAAAGGACCACTTCTCAAATTGACATTTATTAAATTGACATTGACTTGAATTGACAACTTCTTGAAATGACCATTTCTTTAATTACCATTTTATGTTTTAATTATAAATTGGTTTTTTACTAGTTTTAGACCCTTTCGCCCATTTTACACCATACCCAGACATATTAATTAAAATCTTTTTATCTGTTACCTATCATACTTTTTAAAAAATCGGAATCTCTTGGAAAAATCACTTAGAAATTTATAATTAGTAAGAAGATCTGAGTATTTCGTTGTCATTTAATTGACATTACCATTCCTAGTTTTTCCTGGCCTGCGTTAGTTGCTTAGAGGATGGGCAAAAAAATTTTGTTGCGATGGCAAACAAAGAATTGGTAATAGCATTAAATTAGAAAGGAAGAGAGACTAAAATACGAGGTAAGAACCGATATAACTTTAGTTTACAAAACAATAACGGTCATCACGTTGGCGATCTGTGAACCGAGATTTTTACAACTCCACCATAACTCTTAATTGTGATCGAAACATAACTTCGATCATCTCTCCACGCATGTTCACAAAAACCAATTGTAAAAGACGTTTTTATGGCCATTGATTGTAAATGATGATGATTGTAAAAAAAAAAGTGTACCGTAGTTTTGGATCGGTTGAAAAAATTTTTGAAAAGAGATTTTTTAAGGAGTGCAACACCAACGACATTGGTGATATACCCAAATTTTCTTCAAAGAAAGACAGTTTGTACATGGCCAGAAAAAAGTATTTGGAAACCAAAAGCTTAAGCTTCAAAAAACTCGAAAACGTGCATGTACCTGCAAAATTGGGGAAGGATTTTGTTGTGTGCGAAGATGGAACTACGGAGAAAATAATTTTATTTAGTTCCACAACAGCCCAAATATTTTTGACGAATCATGAAGAGAGTATCGTACAGTATCTTGGAGATGGCACCTTTTTCTGCGTACCTGAACAGTTCAAGCAATTTTATTCACTGCACGTTGACGTTGGATCCAATTGAAATGTTTTCATTTCAAATGTTGTTCCTGTTATATTTGGCCTTCTTCCTAACAAAAGTAAAACGCATATACGATTTTTCGAACTAATAAAAATAAGTTATCAGTAAATATTTTAGAAGAGTGATTTTGTAACTGCAGTTATGAACGTTGTCAAAATGGTTTTGTCAAGTTGTGAGACAACTGGATGCTTCTACCATTGTAATACAGCAATTTGGCATAAAGCAAACAATTGCACCATTAAAGTGTCAAAAATGATAGAAAAATGGTGCGGATGGTATCTTATTTGCCATTATTACCCTCAAAATTCATTCAAGAGGCATGGAATGTCATA